GCCGGCGGATAAACTTTGCGTAATAGTAGTAATAGGCCATAATTCCTAGTCGTAAAGTATGAAAAGTATCAACAAATTTGAAAAATCCTCGTCTACCCCCTTAGGCAATTATCGTCTTTCGTTATGCGAACGTTATCGTTCGCGTTTCGCTAAAGGGACCGTCTCTTACATTGCCTAGGAAATTTGACTTTACAACAACGCGATCGCGCCATCGCGCTTACACCCATTTCCCGCGTTCCTTGACTAAAGGCGAAGAAATTGATATAATTCAATTAATAATTGACAGATAACCAATTAATACGTATAGGATGGTCCTATGGCAGAAAAGGCGTAAACTCCTAAGATTTAAACGACATAAACTTTTTCTAATTTTAACATCGCCACACGGACCATCCAGTACATTGATTGTAGTTACTTCTCGCGTGTATACCTCTTTAATCTACATTTTTTCTCTTTTTTTTTTCTCTTTGTTATAATAGAAATCGTATGTAACTTCTGTATGTATAACTTCTCGGTACCAAATGCATCTACGATGAAATTATCCGGATAATTTCCTTTTGCCTCATCCATCGTCTGTACATTCGGCAGTCGAGAGTACCACTTGCAAGCACGATACTTATATATGCATTATTCACCATTCCGCGCGCACACAGTGCCGTCATGTGCGCGCCCCACAAACTGAAGATCCCGAAATCTTAAATAGTTAACAGTAACATCGGCGTGAACATTGTACAGAATGATCGAATGATGCACGAGAAGCGAAACCTCGGATGGATGATTCGCGATAATCCCTGTCAACGGCCCGCATCGATGATTTAACAACGCGTTGACGAAATCGCAATTAACTGTCATTCACGTGAAGTTACAAAAATTCCACCGTACATCGTCTTCGACGAAAGTCTTAATTAAATTTATCGCGTTTTTTTTTCTACTTGCTGTCAGTAAGTCGAAAGTTTGTGTTATAGGAGGCATGTAGGAGATAAAAAAAAGAACGACGCGTTAATCCAATATAACGAGAAAGAGGGTAATTTCAATTAATAATTTAATAATAAGTGGTAAAGGTCTAATGGTTGCTGTGTTTCCACATGAACGACAGTTAAGAAGGATGTTAATACATTCGGTGCGTTAATATTAAATTAAAGCCTTTGTTAAAGCCTTGCCTAGGTCATGACTTCGACGACGCGTTTTTTGTTTCGAGAGGAAAAAGTCACCGTCATTATTAGGAGATTAGCCGTGTAATTTTTCGTTCAATCTGCAAAGCCCTTTCACCAGAGAGAGACGCGGCTGATGTCCTTTCGAATGAACGGGAACTCTGTCCCTTGAGAGCGAAACATTCGTCACGAGGCGCCTCTCATAAAGTGAAGTATGTATGCACATAGTGGTTCACAGTTACAAAACTAACTAAATCTTACGAGATACGGTGAGCAATAATTCCAGATATGTACAGAAGTGTTATGTTACAGACGTTACGATATAAAGGTATCTCCTCGACGACGCGAATGAGAATTCGCATTCGCAATCGTCGGAATTTTAGCTCCTCAACGTGCGACGATTGGTATCGTTTAATAATAATTTCGACCCTTCCCTCTCGACGGTAATACGAATCGTCTCGAGGATGTCTGTAATGTGCAGCCTTCGATTTTTGAAATTGTCTTAATAATTGATAGGCTACCCTGTTTCGTTATCATTATGAATGGTATCCTTTATGTCCGTTCTATACATCACGACGTAGTATTTTTCAGGATACGTTTTTTCTCGGTCGCACTGTAATAAATCGAGGATCGCTCGCGCTATTGATTGTTTCCGAATATCGATGAATATAAGATCAGGAGATGTGATTTGTTTGTTTTTTTTAAGTCGCTCTTTGTTTTTCCGAGCCACTATTTTTTAGAGCGACTTTAAGGAATACTTAGGAATATCAATGAGAGATTTAATCTAAAAATTAAATTCACTTGTCAATCTTACTGGCAATATACTTTTTAAATCGTATTATCTCATTTTGAAAAAAAGGATTATACAGAATGTAAAAAATTCGTGACTCAAAATACCACAAAAAAGTTCTCAAAAAATTGAGTAAAAAAGTTAATTTTATTTTAAATATAATTTTTAGATATACAAGGACTTAAATGGCCAGTTATATTTAGATTAAAATATGCATTAATATGCGATAGTATTAGTGAGCAGGAACTTCAGCATGTTCACTAATACTAACAAATGACCATTTAAATGTACTCTATAATTGACCACATTAAAATTCTTATATCTCAGAAACTATTTCTCAAAATAACAATTTACAAATGATTTTTTTTTCACCTAATTTTTAAAACTTTTTCGTTGTAGTATTTTAAGTTGCGAATTTTGAGTTATTATATATGAAAGAATTAGTCAAAAATGATATTGGAATTTAAAAAAAAATAAGAAATGAATTTATCCCCGAATGAAGTCATCCCCGAATTTCTCTCTCTGCGTCTTCCGATCCTCGATGACGAACTTCGGCGCGTCGCAGTGAAAAGAACAAATGGCTATGGAAAAGATGAAAACATAATGCGTTATGAGAGAGTAAGTTGAGCGCGGATGTAGTCGCGCGCCTTCGTCATCTTCTTTTTGGAAAAAAATGCGCGACGAAACCGCGAAGGACATCGCGTCGTTTCGTATTTCCCGTTACGTTCCCCATACGTATATAATAATTATTTATCAATAATTATTTACATAAAGCCGTCCCATCCCGCGCGAACGAGCTTATTTCAAATAGAATTCGCTTTCACGTAGTGCCATCAAACTATATATAGGCCCTATGCTCATATATTGACAACAGGTGTATAATATATTTATATATGTATATCTAATGATTTTTCGCTATCTATCTTACAAATGCGAGCAGCCGCAAAACACGCGGTGCCGATTTTCCTTCGCGCGTACTCGCGCATACTAATTACCTGTCCGTCGCACGTGGAACTTGAGGCCGGAAGAAACGCGAAGCCACGAGAACTTGTCGCGATCTATCATCGCTACGAAAGCCACGTGGCCGTCGCGGCGTCGTCGTTAATCCTTAACGTGCGCCCTTAAGTCCGCGGATGTTGCACGAGCACATCTCTTATAAGCTAATCTCTCATTTATTTTTTTTTTCCTACAAATACAAAAAGGCAGCGCGATACAGTGAACATCGGAGTGGCAGCCGAGATGTTTTCCGTTTTACGGTAGGTTGGCGCTTGACATTCGGATTTAACTGTACTACAACATAATATAACGCGAATATCTCGAGTATTTTATTTGAAGAAATTATTAGTATAGAGGCAATAAAATAAATACATAGAGGCAAAAAAGTAAATTTTGTAGTTTCGATCGAAAAAAATCTCCGAAGTCTACTTCTTTATCATATTTTTATATTTAAATTTCGTGAAATATATTAAAAAATTTAGAAAAGTGTACTTAAAAAGTGTGAGAAGTACGTCATTATGAATATTAACTGATATCGCTGAGAGAGGATCATTTTAAATGTAAAATGATAGCAAAATAGTAATAACCATTCCCGTTGTTGCAGTCTCGCTAATAAGGGGCAATGTCAGATAGAATTGGCGCGCTGTAAATGTCAAGCGTAAACCCAGCTCCGACTTACGAACCGGGAAAGCGGCTTCTACGATAAAGTTTTCAACCTCGAGGAGAGAACCCTCGAGGTTTCGTGAAAATAACCGTGTCGTCGGTCACGAGCGACGTGTTTCCCGGTATTCGGCTACCACCGCGACAGCAACAATTCGCGACGTGATTCGTTCGGACCTTCCCGTCTCCCATCGCTTTTCCGCTCGAGCGAGTCTTATTAAACGCTTATTATATAGAAGATCTAAAGTACGTCAATAGAAGATTGTCGATACCGAGTGGTCTGTTTTCGCCACCGACCGAAGAGAGTACCTTCGATCCACGAACCCAACCAACATCGTCCCTCCCTCCTCTCTCCTCTCGTACTCACGAACATTCTCCGAGCACTACTCATGGCGCTCTTCGTCGTCCTAAATCTAATCTTATTGACCCAAAAGGAGAGTTCCCTTCGATATCGGCGTCCCTTTCGCACCGGCCATCTCTTCAGCATGCGTTGCGTTCACCATCGCGTAGCGAGATAGTTTGATTTCAATTGAAGTGCAGTTCCTATCGTAAGCGTATCATTAACACGAACGAGTCGCTTTTCATGACGTTCTCACGTCAACACCTTCCCTCCTTCTCGAGAGAGTCTCCGGTTCATCTCGATTCTCTCGAGTGTCCCACGTTCCTTCGCAACCCTCTTGCTGAGATTGACGAATCTCGGCACAAGGCCGATCCTGTCCGCATTAAACGACGGTGGAGGATGTCCTTCGGTCGTTGCTCGATGAAGCTCCAGGCAAACTCCACGCATCGAACGTTTCCCGCGCGTCCATCCAGCCGACACTTTCGGGAACATATTTCATTTCTTGATAAGTACCCGCAGTGCCATCCCGAACGTGTCCGGAGATTGGCTTCAGAATGATCGTGCTTTGTGCCGTTCCTCCATAATCTCGTCTCTTTGTTAGCAATCTCGTTGTAACGTTCGGTTGCGTTTTCTTCAAAGTTAAGTCCGATTCCCACGGGCTGCTCGAGGATCTGGACCAAGTTCTAGATGCGTCAATCGAACTCTGGCGTCCATCTCGATAATGATGATGATAACGATGATGCCAGATTCTCTCGTTGATTCGCTTACCGATCTCGTACTGTACGTCTGAATGACGTTGCCGCACGAGTTGTTGATGATCTCTGCTGGCCCTTTGCAACTGCCGAAGCATCAGTTCTATATGTTTGAGCGCCTCGCCATTCTGAACCATTCGTTGTGCTCGGTCCGTGGCCCCGCCGTGACCTCTGCTGCCCCAGCTGCCCTGCGACCTTCGTTCTACAAGTCGCTCGTATTCCGCTCTATAACGTTCCGTGTCGTGAGCGTGACGGGTCTGGTTGTAACGACATTGACTCTGTTCCAATGCATCAACGAGACGTCGTGCGTGGCGCGTCGTCGATTTCAACGTCGCCGGGCGCGGACCGAGCAAGTAGCGGGACGTCTCGAGGGCACGGCCGAGTTCGAAGGTGGTTTCAGTTAGGCCCGAGTATCGACGGTTCTAATTCGGATAGATCCCCTGGCCTCATACGTGCGTCGCTAACGTGCCCACTGCGGATGTGCGCTTCACCGTCGCCATGGCCCCGTTTGGACCGCCGGTGATATAATGCGCTGACAATGGAGCCTGTAAAACAAAAAGGAATACGGTATCCTCACGTTATCGCATTTAATCTCGGCTGTTATAAATCTTACAGATACTACTTTGCTTCTAATCGTGATATGTTTTCTCCGTTATATTTAAAAAGATACACAGTTTCTTTAAATATTTAATCTTAAATCTCCCTTGCACCGAGAACGATGTTTGTTAAGTTAAGATATGTATTTATATAGATTTAAATTAAAATATGTATTTACATAAAGATATGTGTCCCCATGTAGAACAAGCTTTGTTGAATTTAATCGCTTGATATGTTCATTGAATAAAGAAGAGATTAATCACAGATTCTATGAATTCTGATTTTCTACAAACATTATATTAATTGTAGGCGAGAATTACATATAAATAATATAGAAATTTTTTTTTTTGGAAAATCTCATTATTTTGTACAGCTATAAAGGTTGAAGGACTATTCATATATTTTTATGATACGCGACATACATATTTAATTACACGAACTCCATAGAAACATAAAACAAATATTCTAGCTAATGTGTGTGTGTTTCCATCTATATCCATTAAACTATAAAGCCTCAAATAGTGCAAAGATTGAATTATACAGTATGAAAACATCCAGCGAGTAATATGTGAGCGGAAAAGTGGTAAAAGCCATATTTTTTCTCATTTCGGGAAATAAAAGGATTTGTGAAACTGTGTAATACGAATTTCAGCCACGTTATTATACATTTTCTACAATTCTAAAGGAAAAAAATTGAAAATTTTACGTTTTCGCCGTAGCAACTAAGCATTACATTTTTTCAAACGTGTGACATTATTACTGGCTTACACTATTATTTCACTCAATTGCCCGTATGCTATGTTGTAGTCAATTTTTTTACTCCATTCGTTTTTTTCATTCCCGAAATATATATATATATATATATA